ATATATTTTTAAAATAATAGAAACTAAATGTCCTCATCCTCATTAATAACTTGATCAACCTGATTATTATTGTTATTGTTGGCCAGTACAATAGTAAATTCCTCTCTAAGCTATTTAATAAGAGATTTGTCCAATTCCATCTTCCCCTCAAATGACTCATCATAACGATAAGCAATCTCAATCGACCCATCGCTCATGTAAACAGGTATACTAGTCTGCCCCACTGAAAATAAAAATTGTTCTCCTAACAAATAAGAAGTCTGATCAGGTACAAATCTTGTGTCATTGTTAGGGAGTTGGGATTGAAGTCTACGCATCTTGAAGAAACCCAGCATATAATCAACAGCAACGATAAATGCAAAATTTGCAGTATCAAACATAATACTATCACCCTCACCCTCTTCCTCAAGTTTACAAATCCTCATCTCATCTTTGGGAAATTTATAACACATGTAGAAATTCCAATCTTTCAACAAACAACCCATGTTATCACAATCAATCTCTCCAACATAATGAGCCAAAATATCTAACTTATCGTTTCTAATCTTTGGATCATCCAAATTTTCAACATCATGAAACACATCATCAGGTACAATATTTCGATCAGATTTCTTAGCTAAAGCCTTATCACAAATATGGACTAAGTAAAAATATAATTGCATCTTTGATAATAATGGAGTCAACAAAGTATTCTTCCCAACTGAAGGTAACTTGTAATGATTCATTAATTGATCGGGTCTTAACTCAGCTTGCTGAGGAGGCTGTTCTTCTTCATCATTTTGAACTGGTCATATAGAAGGGAGAAGCATCTGCTCCCAAGGAGCAATACCAACCAAATTCCCAATTTGTCTAGTATGAATAGAAGTGAATCTAATATGAATCGAAATGTCTAAAAGAACAAGACGAGTCGAGAGCCATCTATCATTTTGTTGTAGCAAACGCCAAACCCAAAATCGCTTATAAAGAGTATCATTATAAGCCAAAGTTTGTGCCTCATCATTAGTAATCATAGGACCCAACTTTATTCAATCAACCTTTGAATTAGGAGGTCGCAATTGTTTGCACGCGTTATATGATGGTTTATCACCAACTATGCATGTTCCAATTGAGCAAACCTTTTTAAGTTTTGGTTCAGATCCTAGCAACAACACAACTTTTCATTTGCTCATAATATATTTTTACCACAACAAGTATTGGAAAAATGAACCTTGGCTTTTCTTTTTGCTGGTAACTCTTTTTTTGCTATCTTTGATTTTTTTATGCTTTTAGTTTGTTGATTTTTCTTGATTGTTGAACCTTTTTTTTTCTTGGTTACTTTTTTGTTCTTTGTGCGTGCCAGGTTTAAATAGTTTTATGATCGTAGGTATCTAATGCCCTAATGGCTTCCTGGATTGTTAAACGAATATTTACAGCCAAAAGTATAACGTAGCTTTTTAAGATATACAAAAAATCGAGCAACTCACTATTGCAAAGCCGATACAGCACAACAGCTACAATAAAAATAAAAAGTATATAGCAAATATTGAAATTAATGTAGATAACGTATAAAAAAAAATTAGACATTTGTTTTAGTAAAAAATAACAACCAACAGGGTATTTATACTTTTATTTTAAAAAAAACTCAAAGCTTTACATTCTCAAGAATCATTTTATACAATTCAGGATCACTATTTTTTACTCCTAAACTATCAATCTTTTTGAGCAATACCTGTATTTGCTCCTTATTCAAAAGTTTTAAAGTTTTCTTAAATTCGTTTAAATCATTTTTTTTTGATTTATTATTATTATTACTATTCATCAAATGACCCAACAACTGATTTATCATATTATCCCCCGAGACACTTTTTGCCTTACTAGTACTAGTCACATGATCTAACAACTTATTCGTCACATTAATATTACTAACGGCCAGCATCCTGATCAAATCGTCCTGACTCTGCAACCTCTTGTTATAGTTGGTCTGCATGGAGTCAATAACCTTTCCATACGCATCATGCGTATCTTTTAATTTTTTTACCTCATTATTGTTCATAGTTTTTACAACATCAGCATGATTTCCACTCAACCCCATCACCACCTTTGTTTGATTATCACTTAAATTCTTGATAACTTCTTTGTAATTACTGCTTAGATTCTTGATAGTCTTCTCATGTAAACTGGTTAAATTTTTTACAGTCTTTGTCTGATCATTACTTATAGATTTAATAAGCTTCGCATTATTATTATTCAGTTTTTGTATTGATTTATTTTGCTGGGTTGTCAAAGTTTCTACTATCTCCTTTTGATTGCCCGCAAGGGCCGTGACAGTTTTTGCATTTGTATAATTTGTATACTTTGATATTGCAGTATTGGAAGACGCGACTACACCAGAATACCCATACCCATAATTGCCACCAGGAGCAGCGATTTCAGAGTTTTTTAACTGTTGCTTCTTCTTTTTAGGAGGAGATTTATTAGACGATGACATTTCTTTTTTTAAAAAATTTAAATTATATCTTTCTTTAATATATTATATTTTATTTAAAAATTTATTTATCATGACAATAACACATATATAT